GAAATACACAATTTCTGGATTTCTAGATAAAATATTTTGCCATATGGTTCCTGCATAGATTGGCCCTTTCCTTTCGTGAGGGTATCGTAAAAGGCGGCTAAAAGAACTTAATGGACGAGGGACGACGAGCTACTTAGCTGTGTCTCTCTTAAAACATCGCCAAATTATTGCGGTAGCCAAACCACCTGCCAAGCGTGGCAACTATTGGCATTATAATAATAGCGCAGTCAAAGCGATCATCATTTATATTATAGTTTTCACTTAATTTCAAAAGATTGGCAATTTAAATCTTTACTTTTTATTTGTATACAATCATTGAATATAAATTGCGTTCTCATCTTTCAAGCATATAATTGACAAAAGAAAATGGGGAATAATAGAATTGTAATAAATATTTCTTTCTGTTCATTTGTTACGAAAGGTTTTTGGAGTAAATGTCAGTGGAGAGACATATCGATTTCAATGTCCAACCTTTCGACGATTTCTCGTGAAATCTTGTTGCTTACAAGTACATTCGTATCTAATACGCTTAGCGATATTTTTTGCTATCAGTTCACGATGGCATTTATCAAAGAAAATGAACAAGGATAAAATATAAAATATCAACATTACAACATATATATTTAATATGAACAACAAGTACTTGCTTCGGCAGTACATATACTAAAATATGGCAGTCCATAAGAAAGAGTCGACACCTCTGTCGCTCCCCTCTCGCGAGCTTGAAGTGCCATCAGCACTCGCCCCTGCATACGTGTCCGGTGAAGCTGTAAAGGCCACTCACGGCCAACAGCAAACACATTCAGAAAAAAAAAACTAAAATATGAACAACATATTTTGTATGTAGCATTACTACATAACATGAATATATTGCACGTAGATACAGTTTAGGTTATACGCAGTCTGGTACTCATTAAGATTAATTTTGTAACATTTTTAAATATATTTTTATTGCTACGTAATGAAATGTTTTAAAAAAATCTATTTATTATGTGTAGGTATGAGTTTTTAGTTTCAAGTTATCAAATATCTAAGTATAAAATAACATTGTTATCCACGTCTGTCCGTTTACTTTTCAGCACGGATTTTTTTAATGGACGATAATGGAATGATAGCCCTGCCTGTCCTATCGGTATACGCTGGCAGGACACCAGTGAGGGATGATAGCCCATTGTGATAAATACACCTGGAATTCAGCACGATGGTTTCCAAAGGAGACCACGTGGATGTCGACCTGACAGGGTATATTGCTAGCAATGGAATTGGTAATCCGCATCAGTAACAATCCCTCCCCCTCCTTTAACACGAATTGCACTGTTACTTAGATATTTTTACAGATAGTTTATATGTATCATACATTATAATTTAACTTTTGTATAAATAGATAAATTTGACATTTTTCTAATAAATTGCACTCGTGTAAAGAAAAAACTATTTTTTTTACATAACAGGGGGCAAACGAGCATGCGGCTCACCTGATGGTAAGCGATTACTGCCGCCCATGATCACCCACAATACCAACGGCATTGCAGGTGTGCTGTCGGCCTTTTAAAAAGGAATATGCTCTTTTCTCAAAGGTTATAATGTCGTAGCGGTTCGGAAATACTGCTACTGGAAGTTGATTCCAAAGAGTAGTTGTACATGGAAGAAAGTGCCTTGAAAAACGCACGGCGGAAGACCGCCACTGATCCAGATGGTTGGGATTTTTTTTAGTGGGTGATAATGGTATGGTAACCCCGTCTGCGTTATTGGTATACACTGGCGGGGCACCAGTGATAGATGGCTGATGAGGATGAAAGTAGGTCAGTTAGCCCATCCTGACGAATTAAACCAGAATTAGTCACGATGGTTTCCAGGGGGAACCACGTGGAGGTCGACCTGACAGGGTATATTGCTAGTAATAGGGCTATTTTGACCCCATTACTAACAATCCCTTTCCCCCCCAGATGGTTGGGATGAAATTTTATTTTTATGGCGTGTTGTACGGTGGTGAAAATCAGCAGCAGGTATCAATTCGAACCATTCTTCAGAGCACTACCCCTGTAACAAGTTTGGTAGAAGATGCACAGAGATGCAATATATCTACGCAGTTTCAGTGGGTTTTAAATTAAAATAAATAGATCGATCACATAATCGAGTAATCTTTCCTTCAAAACTGAGACGACTCCGTAGTATATTGTGATTTACGAGTGATCGATAATGTTTACCGTGAAAGTACTGCATTTGTGTGAAGACATGACTGATCGATGCGTTGCTTGCCTTGTCATGATTGTGTCTTAATATTATTTTAGAAGGGAATTTTGGTAAAATAAATATATTTTTCAAATCTATATATTATTACATTTTTTTCATCTATTTATTGCTGCGGTTTGCAATTGCAGTTTGAATTTAGATGTTTTTAGAGGAACGCAGTAGCGTTCCTCTAAAAACATATATAATATAAGAGCTTATGGTCGAGGGATAGATAGTAATCTATCCCTCGACCATAAGCTCTCTTAGTCGTCTCTTACGACACTCACAGGAAAGGAAAGGGTATTCTATACCGGGACCTACGCGGTTAGATAATCGTATTAACTTTTAAAGAGATAGATAAGATTGCTAAATTATATCAGAGAGAGACTTTGTACAAAAATCGATTGCTTGAGTACCTCTGTCCCATTTGTGTTTCTACCGTGAAGCAGTTGTGTTTGTATGGTTGTGTTTCGGTTTGAAGGGTAGGATATGGCGTGAATTTACAGGGTACAGAGGAATAACACTCGAGTCCTCTGGAATGGCAACGCATGGGGAGTATCATGGGCGAAACAGTATACTCTGTTATGTCCATGGTACTGCTCATGTCTATAGGCGACGGTTACCACTTTCCATCAGGTGAGCCATCAGCTTGTTTGCCATTCTAAGTTGTATAAAAAAAACTCATAACCTACCTTTATAAGTCGGTTAAAAACTAAACAACCACCTCTACATCTCGAAATTAACCCACCATTAAAGAAAACTGTTACAAAAGCGAGAACGGTAAAATTTCACTTCGGTTCTGTACTACACGCCGTTAACAAGAATTTGTAGGCGTTCTAAATGGGAACACCAATCACAATTACGGAACCCTTGTCCACCTGAAACCGCTGTACAAAAAACTTATTTCCAAGAAAGTATTTACAGGGTGCTGTTTTAATGTCGACATTTTAGATTAGGGTGAAATATGCTACCTTGCTGTAGAGAGAAAAGAGGAAGAAATCTGCAACTATACGCTCTTATATTTGTTTTATTTTTTTTTTAAATGGAAAAAAGGGTTTCTAATTTGCCAGTGATTTTTATATAACACTATGTTTTCGCCAATCCTTTTTCTTTTATTGTTTGACAATTTAATACTTTTTTCACTCGATATGATTTACTCTCGTGTCTGTTACATGTTTTTTTATACGTTTGAAATTGCCGTATCTAGGTAACTTTAAAAAAGGAACAGGATTCCAATTTGCCTGTATTTTTTTTTTGTATTTACGTTAGGTGATGACTTTGTTAATTCTATACTGATTATGATATATTTTTTTGTTATAATAAATATTTTATGTATGTTTCAACAGAATTTTATTTTATTTTTTTAATTTTAAACTATTTATGAAACAAAGTTTTAAATTGTTCTGTAACAATTTTAGGAATACTTTTAAGGTTTATAAATAGATAGAGATAGAGATAGATAGATAGAGAGAGAGAGAGAGAGAGAGAGAGAGAGAGAGATTTATTTTTTTAATTAATATCGAGACGGTATAATAGGTAGACATAAGACAATGTAATGAAAGACACCTATAGAAAGCTACACTATTAATAAATAACATGACCTGGAATTTATTATCAAATAATTAAAAATTGTGTCCCACAAAAATTGATTTCAATCGTGACAAAACTAATTATTTTAATCTAGAAATTAAACCACTGAATCGATTTTGATAAGATTTCTATGGAACTAATTGGAAACTATATCTTTTTAGATAAAAGAAGAAATGTCCAAAGCGGTTTAGAACCGACAAAGTTATGAGATAACAAACATAAAAAAACAACTGAATTTAGATACTCCTTATTTTGAAGTCAATTGAAAACCGTGTGAACCCTGACAACTGGTAGCTAATGAGCAAATAAGTAGAAAAAAGTGAGATATCTATTCTATCATATAAACATACTGGAATATAAAAATTTATAGATTGATCATTAAAATTCTATAAAAGAAAAAAAAATGTAAATTCTAAACTTACATATTTTTTTTATTTTTTCATCCACATTCGCCATTATAATGATGCCAAAAGGATTTTTTTTAATACAAGAATAATTCTTACACACGACCTGTATAGTACGAGTAAATTAGAATAAATAAGGAGTTTAGAGCTCGCGTTTTTGTGCGCTACCGCTAATATTAGTCGGTCAAATTAGATTGCCTCCATGATTACCTTAAATTGAATTATAACGACTGGATAATTGAAATCGAAAAATTTAATATTTGAATATGGAAGACTTTCTTTTCGTGTTTAATTTGACTATAGTAAGAAATTATGAATTAAGATATCCTTGCACACAAAAAAAACTGACTTAAATATTGATAAAATTAAATAAAACCAATATTACATTATATTATTATTTGTTTTGCAACCTGAAGTGATAAACAAGCATCGGTCTACCTTTTTTTCTTGACACTTAAAGTGGCAAAGTGAGAGAGTATCAATTTTCGCCTTTAGATATAATCAAAGTTGGATGATACTTGGCGATGATATACATTGTGTAACATTTGCAAAAAACAAAAATAGTAGAATTCGGAAAGTCCTCGGGTCAAAGGAGGTGTATAAAAAAAAAAGGTTGAAAAGAAATCGTCACGATTATCCTGACTTCATCCTCACCTATCATCATTCACGATATTGCTGGAAGATAGTATTTAAAAAGTATATTCAGGAAATCAAATCTACGTAAGATGGATATTTTATATTAAACTAAGTAATATAAAGAAAAAAACTATAACACAAGAGTTTACATTTTTATTACTAATTATTGTATTATAACAATATTTTAAAAAATGAATTAAAATATAAATCTAAATAACACTAAATAATTAGAACACTTTTGAGGGAGTGCTCTATCAACGAAACTGAAAATATTTCTCGCAAGTACGTAAATTGATAAACAACAAACATATTTTTTGTCATTTTTTTTTTTTTTTAATATACATTCTTATATGCATGGGTAAATTCTCAGTTTTATGTAAAGCTAACGTACACAACTATGGTTTCACCCTGTAGATAGATAGATACTCTTTATTGTTTCCTCCAAAAGATTACAATAATTTTATTATACTCGTAATGTAGATTAATGATTTTTATAATTCTTGTTCTATAATGCACAATACAGGATTATCAATACAAAATAATACTTTTAATAATAAGCAACAGATATATTTATTTATTTATTTCTTATTGCATTCCATAATATAATTAGTAGATAACATTCCAACATCAATTATGGACCCTGTTGGGCACAGCAAGTACGAGTTTAACATAATATAATATACAGACTTATATTAATACTACCTTACTCTAAACGTACAGTGTGGTTTAAAAGAATTTTTCTCCCGCGAATGCTCAGGCTGTGCAATAAGTTCCCTGTCGAGGTTTTGCCTAGAGACTACAGTATGAGGTTCTTCAAAATGGGTATATTAAGGTGTCTGCAGGATCGGCAACGTGCACGTGACTAGTAGTATTGTAGGCGTACATAGACTACACGACTTTTTACCATCAGATGAACTATATGCTTTTTTTTTATAAAACTTAGAATGGCAAACAAGCTGACGGTCCACCTGATGGAAAGTGGTAACCATCGCTTATAGACATGAGCAGTACCATGGATATAACACAGTATACTGTTACACCCATGATACCCCCTATGCGTTGCCATTCCTCAGGACTCAGATGTTATTCCCTGTAAATCCACGCCATATCCCACCCTTCAAACAAAATACAGCCATGCAAACACAACGGCTTCACGGTAGCAACACGAATGAGACAAAGGTACCCAAGCAATCGACTTTTGTACAAAATCTCCCTCTGTTTGTTCAGTCTTGTTTGCTACCTTTGTAGTTTAAAAAAAATATTGCGGATGCATTAGTGTATCACTTTAGAACGGCTGTATCTAGTGGTCTCATTCTTTTTTTGTTGTCTTTGTAATTGTAAGGACAAGGTGTGTATGAATAAATAATATTTAAAGAATCGTATGGAAAAGTAAAAATGTGTGAAGCTGGAGCGGACAGCATAAATAAATATATAAGTGTTAAGCAATTTAATTAATTGCAGATTTACAGTCGGCGTTGTCGATTTTCTTCTTCAACTCCCTTCTCACCATTACCGTGATATAGACTTGCAGAACTGAAATAAAGACATAATAAAATTACGGAACGATTCACACATAATGAGATCACCATACATTATATTTATATATGCGAGGCTGAGTGTGTTTGATATGAAATTGTTTCGTAATTTACTTAGATGAGTAACGTTTTCGACGAAACGAGAACGGTGGTTTACATCTTCACGATATAAAGATAATTTGGTGAAGCATTTTAAAACAATAGACAAAATAAAAGTAAAGATGCAGTATAAAAAAGTTTAATAATAATTTTATACCAGAGGGAGACTTTGTACAAAAGTCGATTGCTTGGGTACCTCTGTCCCATTCGTGTTTCAACCGTGAAGCAGTTGTGTTTGCATGGCTGTGTTTCGGTTTGAAGAGTGGGATATGGCGTGAATTTACTGGGTACAGAGGAATAACACCTGAGTCCTCAGGAATGGCAACGCATGGGGGTATCATGGGCGAAACAGTATACTCTGTTATGTCCATGGTACTGCTCATGTCTATAGGTGACGGTTACCACTTTCCATCAGGCGGGCCGTCAGCTTGTTTGCCATTCTAAGTTGCATAAAAAATAGTATATTATATATATACTTCTTAATTTCTCTTCATAATTCTTAAATACTTAAAAATGGTATGCATGATTGAATTACTTACAAAATATTACCAAACCACATAGTGCAATCAGAATTATCACACAAACGATTAAATACTCCACATATGGATTCAAAAATATGAACAAACAGATACAGAATAATACAGGGCAGACAGACATCATTAGAAGGCTGTAGTAAAAATAAGCAAGGTACAACAGCCTTTTATTCTGAAAGAAATAGACATAACACATATATAAAAAAAAATGGTAAATGAAAACATTGTTGTCTGGTAGAGAAGTTTGAAAACAGTTTACGAGTACATAAAAATAAAATTTAAATCCTCACACCTTTACTAACTTCATAAATATGAAAGTGAGTTTGATTGTTACCATTTAACGCCTCAACGACTTAACCAATTATTATGAAATTTGGTATAAATGCAGTACACGGGATGGAAAAAGGCACGGACTTCTTTTTATCTCGATCAGTCTATCCCGGTTATCCAGACAAAGTCATAAGTAAAAGCTAGTATTGCTATAAACTATACGATAACAAATAAACAAACAAACTTTCTCATTTATAATATGAAATATATTGAGAAAATAAATAAAAAAAAAATGATTAATTTGGATGTGGAGGTAAGTTTTTTACCTCTTGGTGTTTTAACGGCTCGACTGAATGCCATGAAATTTGGTACACACATAGTATTTGGAATACACAAGGAAATAGAGTATCCCAGTACATGAACGCACTCTGGTTATTTATAAAAAATTATAAGCAAAAAAAAATTTGTCTGTGGTCAATTTCGAACCTATTTTTACAATTCTGTTTGGATTTAAATATGTGTAGTTCAAGAATTAACCAACTGATCGCTGCTGAACATGGTCTCTCTTTATTGGGGCGTTTTGCCATTAGTTGCCACGCTTAGCAGGTGGGTTAGCAACCGCAGTCAGGCTTTGATGATGTTTTAAGAGGCACACTGCTGTATATCCCTCAACCATTAAGTTCTCTTAGCCACTTTTTGCGGCACCTGCAGGAACCGAAAAGGTAACCCAGTCTATGCGGGGACCATACAGAAATTTAAAACTTAGTCTGTTTAAAATTATTTAAGATTGTGATCCACAAAAAAAAAAAAACTGGCTTCAATTATGGCAAAACTAATTATTTTGCTTTAAAAACTATTTTGATAAAATTTATTTGAAACCAGCCATTAAATATGTATTCTCAGATGTAAAAGGAATCTTCCAAATCGATTTACAACTAATGAAGGCAACAAATATAAAATAAAAATACAACTAAATTAAGAATCCCTCTTTTTGAACTCGGTTGAATATAAACAAACGAACAATTAATCTATACTTATAATAAATTTGTAGAGAGGTCAATACTGTACATGAAATATATTTCCAAAGTAACTATCATGGGGTGATTAGTGATCGATACTGATACCAAAAATGCAATCAGTAAAATTTTTGTCTATCTGTCTGTATGTTCATTATAGAAACAAAAACTACTCTACGGATTTTAACGAAACTTGGTACAGTTATTCTTCATACTCCTGGGCAGGTTATAGTATACTTTTCACGACGCTACGATCGATAGGAGCAGAGCAGTGAAGGGAAATGTGTTTGTTACATCAAAACCACTGAACCGTGATGAAGGACATAGGCTACTTATTTTACGAAAAACGACGGAAACGCGGACGAAGTCGCGGGCAACAGCTAGTCTAATCATAAAACAGTCTATAATAATGCCTAAATCCTCCAAAGGAGAGGCCTATGTTCAGCAATGGACAGTTAAAGGCTGATATGATGATGATGATGAAGTTGTAGCTAGAAGGAGACATTGTACAAAGGTCGTTTGCTTTGGCACCTTTGTCACATTCGTGTTTCTATCTTTAAGCAGTTGTGTTTGCATGGCTGTGTTTCGGTGAAGGGTGGGAGCAGTGAATTTACAGAGTACAGAGGAATAACACCTGAGTCCACAGGAATGGCAACGCATGAGAGTTATCATGGGCGAAACAGTATACTCTGTTATGTTCATGCTACTGCTCATGTCTATAGGCGACGGTTACCACTTTCTATCAGGTGGGCCGTCAGCTTGTTTGTTATTCTAAGTTGCATAAAAAAGTTTAATTTTAACAATATGAAAATAAAAAGTGACTATATAAAAAAGAAACTTACCAAAAATACAGCAACTAAAAGTATAACGTTGAACATGCTGTCTATAATTGTAATTATTATAGAAAAAAAGGTTATTATTAATTCCCAACTCGTACATTCTATTTGCGTGGAAAATTGCCGGAAATATAACTGTATTATATTTATCATAACAGTTATCGAAAAAATCTGTAATCAGAGTTGATTTAAATAAATTAAATTGTAATGACACGTAAAATTTATTTATTTTTTTATTTATTTATACTTTATTGTACACAAAATAATACATTCATAATATATAATATAAATGAATAAATAAAAATGTACAATAGATGTGCTTAAGTCTGTAAGAATTCTCTTCCAGCAAACCCTGAGTGGAAATCAACATTAATTAATTTTATAATATTTTTTTTAAATATGTATTCATATATATTAAGAAAAAAGACCCCATGCCATCATGAGGTCTTGTTTTTAATGGGTGATAATGGAATGGTAACCCCGCCTGCGCTATCGGTATACGCTCGCGGGGCACCAGTGAGGGATGATAGATGAAGATAAAAGCAGGTCAGTCAGCCCATCGTGATGAATTCCACAAAAATGTATCAAGACAGTTTCCATGGGAAACCGCGTGGAGATCGATTTGATAGGTTATGTTGCTAGCAATGAAATATTGCAATCAGAACAATAAATAAAACATAACCTAAAAATTTAATTTCATTAAAATAAAATGTTTTAAAAGTGTGAGTACATTCTGTACAAAACGGAGTTCTTATTTTGTACAATAATTAATCCAAATCAATGATATTTTATATTGTATACGTATCCATAAACATCGTAATATAGTGTGATGCCCATGTTTAAAGATAAATCGTCAATTTTCCATCAAATGAACTTGTTTGTCATTCCAACTTGAATTTTTTTTATAAACTACTGTATTAAAATAGACTGTGACTGTAATAATTCATTCTAACATAAACATATTAAAAATGTACGTACCAATTTTAAATATCCCCAAATTATTAGCTCATATTTTACTGGAATGCAGAAAAAACAATTCGACATTTTTATTAAAATTTATAAATTTCACAATTTTTTTTTCAAAATTTAAAATTTACAAATATCATAGTGACAGTGAAATAGAAGACGACAAAATCCTTCTGTATCTCAGACAGAATGGGCAAAGTATTTTTATTATTTCCGAACATGAGTAACGGAGATAACTATATTTGTATGGCGAAATCTTAATTAACTACTCAACCTATTTATGTGTATAGCAATGTATATTTTTTATGATACTTAAAATGGAAAAAAAGCTGACGGTACACCTGATGAAAAGTAACCATTGCTTATAGGCATGTACAATATCGTGAATATATACTATGATGTCTATGGTACAGTTAGCAACAAAAATCAATGAACAGATCTAAAACTTTTGACGATAAAATGGTCCAAAAATTACTCGCTAAAGTATTATTTTTTAGTTTTTTTTTATAAGTTTATTATTTTATTAGTTACGCTATTGCGCAATAGGTTCGTAAATATCATTATATATAAGTCACTAAACAGTATATTATAAAAATTATTACCATTCCATCAAAACTAAACCAATTTTTATAAATCATCTGTAATGGGATCAATCTGTAAGAATAATATATCAAATAAAAAATTTTACTAAATCAGTTTATAACTAATGGAGTTATGAGGTAACAAACATTAAAAAATTCAATGGAATTGAGAACCTCTTTTTTTGAAGTCGGTTGAAAGTAATATTTCAAAAGGTATGCTGATATATGTACATATTTCCAAAATAATTACTTCTTATCTTCAATTACTGGTCGTACTACAAAACAACTCGTAGTACTTTTTTTATTTGAAAGGATTTACATAGTTGCAGATTAGCTCCATAGAAATTGTATCGAAATCGGTTTAGTAATTAATTATTAAATCAAAATAACCGATTTTGTTATAATTACAAATGATGTCAATTTTATTGTGGATCATGATCTAAAAATATTTTATTTACGCATTACCTTGTAATGAACTCTCCAGACTTGGTTGAACATTAAAAATATGCCGATATATCGATCGAATCCCAAAAGAAGGCAAATTTAAATTCCACGTTCTAAATTTGATATTTAAAAACTCATGCACAAATTCTTTTTTTGAAAAATATAAAAAGTTTAATGCGCTTAATTAAAAGGGCAATATAACTTACCACATTAGAAAATTTTAAACATATTATACATAATTTATAGCAACGTTAATTTGGTTAAAAACATTTGGGAAGTTAATCGTCCGTCGGGGATTCCCCTATAATTGAGTTTTCAATTGTTTTTTGCCTTACCGCCTTTACATTAGATCGTTCTATACATAAAACGGCCAGTTTAACTAATACGCTCAACTGTAATTTAATTAGTGTTATTTTAGTTGATGTAGTTAATTTAACTTCATTTCGTTTATACCACCGCCAGCTGCTAGATTGTGTAGTTTAGTTGCAATTCTCGTTTAAAACAGATTAAAACTGTCAGTTTCGTTGGACGGAATATGGCAGCGAAGTTACAGAGTACATATCATAATTTTCATTTCAAAAAAATTTAAAATTGTTATTTCTTATTTGACTAATTTTTATCTGAGACTTCGTTTGGTTTTTTATATCTTGATAGCGTCACTCATCTTGTTCAAAACAAGCTTATCTTTCAAGCTAGAACAAATCATACATTTTCACAAAATTGGTTAAGTTTTGTGGACAAGAGTGATCGATATGTATGTATGGTTAAGTGTTTAAATATTAATGAATGAATGAATGAGTATACTTTATTTGCACTATACAATATAGGAAATAAGCAAGACAATTTACAAACACAATGATACAATTGTGTAAGTACAGTAGGGCGGTCTTATTGCTGAGAGTAATCTTTTCAAGACAACCTTAAGGTAAAGGACTAATTATTGTACAAGTAGGTATGATACTACTGTATAATTAAAAAAGCATCTTTTGCAAATTATATATATATATATAATTTGTAAAAGATGTAATATATATATTAATCAAACAAAATTATATGTTAAATATGTACCTAATACTAGGATATATATTAATAATTATAGGCATAAGGAAAATAAACTATCATAAAAATTAATATGTACGAACATAGGGACTCGTGATTTTTACTAATCTTTCTAGTGTAATTTATATAATAAAATTGTAACTGGACGATGTACGTACATGGATATACATATATGTAGGTATTGAACGAGAATTGTCGATGATCCTAGGCATACAAGCGGTATCGAACCCTTAAGTCTTAAGAGAGATTTTGCCTTACTCTGTGTGTTCTACCGCTTGTACAACGGATTGTGTTTAGAGGAATTGTTCAATATGATGACCATGGCCACTTTCTACCTTCGTACAGTTCGCCATCGACAGGGAGTCATATCCTACAGTTTAAATGGTCGCGTACAACGAGGTTTCAGAGATGTTTTCTCCCACGAACACTAAGGTTATGAAATGAGCTCCCTGCCGAGGTTTTCCCAAGAGCCTACAGCATGGGGTTCTATAAAAGGGGGGTTAAAAAGGGGTTTTCAGGGTCCGCAACGCGCTTGTAATACCCCTGGTATTGCAAGCGTTTATAGGTTACAACCGTTTACCATCAGGTGGGCCGTATACTTATTTGCCACCTCAGTGGTATAAAAAAGATATTAAAGAAAAATTATATGACCAATCTAATTAAGACCGATAAATGCTAAAATAATATTTTTTTTAGATATTTTGTCCATCTGTCTATATTTTTATATTACATGTTAATTCTGGCATCACGTGAAAGCTACTGCACCGATTTGAATGCGATTTTCACGGTTATACTTCTAAAGATCAAATGTCTGGTGATCGATTATCTCGATAGAAGTATAGACCACTTCTAGATGGCGCTGCAAACTTTTAATGGCTTTTTTCTACTCGTATTGGTGAAATCCACGCCTAAGAAGTGGCGAAAAGTTAGTATTCAACAGTAAAACTATGAAATTCACAATATTATAAATTGCTATTATTAGAACTTCACCAAAAGGTAACCATGCTCTTTTTTATTTATCAAAATTAATACTCTCTAAATGGGGGGAAAGGGATTGTTAGTAATGGAGACTGAGAATCCCATTGCTAGCAATATACCCAATCAGGTCGACCTCCTCGCGGTTCCCCTTGGAAACTATCATGGTTAATTCCCGATGAATTCATCATGATGGGCTAACTGGCCTGTTTTCATTCTCATCTATCACCCTTCACTGGTGCTCCGCCAGCGTATCCCGTTAGCGCAGGCGGGGTTACCATACCATTTTCACCCATCAAAAAAAAACTCTCTACATTATGTCTTTTACTTGTTTTTCTCGTAATGGAATAAATCGTATCCATAAATATTTTGTGATTTAGAGTTTCCCTTATGAAATGTTGTACAATTTCATTAATACTACAACAGGATGTCAGTTCTGTATACCAGTTACCACTAATCCTGTATACAAATATAGCAAATTCATTCCGAACAAATATTGAAATGAGTCGAGCATTCCTATTCGGAATTGGCTTATCTCTTCGCCTTCTAAGCCTTCGTTTACTTACCCATGTCACGGAGACGGAACAAGGGAGAATTATTATTGTCACGTATAAGTTATTGCATATTCAAACAATGATCTTATGTTTAACCAATTTGTTTCACTCCATTCTTTTTGTTCGATTTTCAAATCTCTCAATAGTGATTGATCAATCGTTTTTACTGTTTACTAGCTTTTTCCCCGCTACTTCGTACATATGAATTTCAGAAGTAGTAAAAGCTGTTAGGTATAACTATTACTAGATGGTATATCTTAATGAGACAAATAACAGATTTTAAATTAGACCTCCAGGAATATAAACGTGATAACCGCATCCAATTTCGTCATCATCATCATCTCAGCCATAATTATCTCCTCATAAACTACCTTAAATAATGGTCCTGAGCCACCTGCATCCACTGACACCCTGCAATGCATTTGAGGTCGTCACTCCATCTAGTGGAGGGTCGTCCTACCAATATACCAATATATATAAATAATATACCCTCTTAGGTTGACCTCCACGCGGTTCTCCCTGGAAACCATCTTGGTTAATTCTTGTCGAATTCATCATGGTGGACCAACTGACCTGTATTCATTCTCACCTATCATCTTCCACTGGTGTCTCGTTGGTGTATACCGATAGTGCGGACGCGGTTACCATTTGCATCCATTAAAAAAAGTAGGTACAAACAGACAAAATATCAAAAAATATCGTTTTGGCCTGTATTTTTGTTATTAAGACCGTAATAATATTTTTTCTTAATTATCTCTTATGTACAGAGTACAGATATAGTCTAGTTCTTTATAATTTTATTATATTAATAAGATAAGATGATAAGATACTTGTAAGATTAAAGATTGTGTCCCAAAAAAACTGACTTCAATTGTTACAAAACCAGTTATTTCACCAGAGGGAGATTTTGTACAAAAGTGCAGAGGAATAACACCTTAGTCCTCAGGTATGGCAACGCATGGGGTATCATGGGCTAAACAGTATACTCTGTTATGTCCATGGTACTACTCATGTTTATAGGCGATGGTAACCACTTTCCATCAGGTGGGCCGTTAGATTTTTTAACAGTTAGCTAAGTTGCATAAAAAAAGTTAACCTAGAAACCAAACTATTAAACTGATTTTGATAAAAAAAGGGACCAATCTGTATTTCCTATAGATAAAAAAGAATTTTTCCAAATCGGTTTAGAACTGACAAAGTTATGAAGTAACAAATATAAAAAAAATACAACCGAATTGAGAACCTCCTTCTTTTTTAAGTCGGTTGAGAAATAAAAAGTGTTTTAAATTGTGATAATTAATAAATTTAAAAATATATAAAACGCATCAATGGGCGATGAAAAGAGTAGGTATTAGAAACGTTATAATAGATTTTAAAATATTTATGTATGTCCAATAAAAAAAAAGCTTGTGTTAAAAAATAACATTGATATGTATTGATATGTATATGTATGTGTGTGTGTATGTATGTGTATGTATATATATATATATATATATATATATATATATATATATATATATATATATATATATATATGTATATATATATATATATATATATGTGTATATGTATATATATGTATATATGTGTGTGTATATATGTATATAATTTTTATATATTTTTAATTT